GGAAATAATCAATGGTATTTTCCCCCTTTGATTAACACTTAAGCGTACAACAACTGTTCTTTCTAGTTTCTTTCCTTAGTGGTTCTATTTTAGGATTAATGAGGTGGATTCATTGAAAATGGTGAAGGATAAAACTCAGAGACTTTTGGCAACACCAAAGTTCCTCCTGATCCAGGTCAGCAGCATCTGTCTGGTTGAAAACCTGACCCGTGTTAAGAGCATCTTCTACCGATAGAACCACTGCAAATACACTGGTGATTTCTGAGAATCTAATTTGTTCTCTTTGTGATAGACCTCACACGCAGCGAGGAATTTGGCTCAAAAATAAAGCTCCATCGTAAGATGGTTTATTAAGCATCCCCTACTGAGAGTAATTATATTCTTTGCACATAAGGATAAACCTGAAATTACAGAGCTCTGATTTGGTTCTGTAAATCAAATGGAGGCTTGAAAACATGGAATCAGAACAGAAGTGCTTGTAAAACAAAACAAGAGACAGAACAGGTCTCTTTTCCATGAGGAATGGTGAAAAAAACCAGACTGTTATTAGCCCTTCATGGACTCTTGTTTCAGAGACATGCTGAATCTAGAAATGTGTTTCTATACCTCAGACAAGTTGAGACATTCTTTACAAGTTACTTAGGCCTGGGTGATGCTATTGACTTATCATCATTGCAAACAAAATCTCAAACTAACCTGTTGGTTTCATAGCCTTCTATAACAGCTTTACCCAGCTGCAGTTTGTTCCTAACTCATCATCTATTGCCAATGCATAGAGCTCATCATAGAATCATAGAATTATAGAATGGTTTGGCTTGCAAAGGACCTTAAGTTCATCTCATTCCAACCCTGCCATGGGAAGGGACACCTTCCACTAGACCAGGTTGCCAAAGCCCCAGGAGTAGGAATCAATCCTTAATGTCACCTAAGTGTTGAAGCCTAAAGGATGATGATGCTGAAGGTTACTTGTGAATACCCCCAGGTAGTCAGAGCTGAAATGCAAAACCAGGGTGCTAACAGACTCTCCCAAACCCCTGCCTTGCATAGTTTTGTCAACGTTTGTATGTGCTTAAAGGATCGCCTGTACTTCATGAAAATCTGCTGCCACCCTCCGCCACAGTGAGAGGCTGAGCGTGGTTGTCGTTTTCATGTCAGCTCAGCAGGCTTAGTGCTCCTCTGCTTTCCCCCTGAAGATCCTTTCTGTTTCATTTTATTCCATATTATTTATTATAAAAAGCAGTATTTTTGTTTCAAAAATGATGATCTGAGCAATCCCGATCACAACACTGGAACTGTCAAGGAAAGGAATCTCTTCCTGATTTTCCAGCCAGCTGGGCTACCACTATAGTTTGGCAGGCACGTTAGCCGCTCTCTATAAGAACCACCTTCAGTAAAGCGTGCTGTGGTCTTCTGATGTTGGCCAGGGATCCCTGAACCAGTTCTTGAACTGATTCATTCTAAATCCACTGGTGCTTTATACTTCTCTCTAAGCCTGGGATATAATGGACTTATTAAACTGCAAAATCAGTAAGATGGCTTTTCCTTCTCCAATCCCCACTCTGCACTGGGATATGTTAAAGTGCACAGCAGAGGTAATGAACAGCCTCTGTGCGTGCTTAGAGATGATTATTTGCACTGTTTTCAATCTATTTTTCTAAGGCTTGCCATCTGATGCCCATCTAGTATGTAGCCTCTCTCCGCTGGAAAAAAGCCCAACGGATGACAAGGGAGAAGTTCAGCTCAAGAACATATGTCTTAGCAAACAGAACATAACTGCTGGCTGACAGCTGCTTCCCTCCTCTTTGCTGCTTCACATCCCCCCCCACCCTTTTCAATTAAATTCTCTATTTTTGCCCTTTCAAGAAGCCACACAGGCCAGATCTGAGGGCGAACCCCTCTGTTCAATGTTCTTGTTTAAAATAATCCAACACTCTGTTCTGCTAAGAATGAAGGTAACTGGAGGCAAGCAAGGAAGTATCTCCTTGCCAACCCCTGGAAGAGGCAATGCTGCTCTAAAGGGCTGTGTGATAAGACTCTAACGACAAATAGATCTTTCTTTCTGATTCTTCCTCCTTGGCAGGTTTAACAGGGAGAAAAGCATGTCTCTATAAAGCTGGGAATGCAATCTGGGGGTCTCAGGAGTCTTTATTTACCTATGAAAGCAAAATTCTGTTAGATTCTATGTCAAATATGCCCTACCCCCCCCCCAGCCAAGTTTAAGTGATTGGTTTGAATGTGAAAGTATGCAGATGATATTCTTTTACAACCGTTCATGTGGCATACCAGAAATTATCCAGGATTTGGAATGAAGCTTTTACTTTAAGGGCACTAACACATGGTGTTCTAAAATAATGACAGAAATAGTCGGAGTCATATTGCTCATCCCAGAAATCCAACGCTTCTAAGGGAGGATGCCAAGTGCTAGGTGCTGTTTCTCAGTTGTTGCAATGTCTGATGGAATCTCAGATTGTCTCTCCGAGGGACACGACCCGACCCAGCAAAGGACTGAGCACCCTTCGTTGAGCTAAGAGGCAGGTGTGTTTCTAGGGCTGAAAGCAGCCAGAAGAGCGGGAAGGAAAAGAGAGGAACCGAATTGTGCGTGTCTGACACAGCCAAAGTCTGCTTAAAACCAAAAGGAAGAGTTAAGCTTGAACCAGAGGAGGGTGAATTTTCAGGATCTGAAAAATCTCTTCTCTGAGGATGAAAAAACCCTCTGGAGTTTAAAGAGAGAAAAAATTAACGCTGGTCTGACTCCAGGCAGAGGCTGTATGTGGCACTTTTACAGGCTTCCATATGTTTCCTAGAGGCATCGAACGAGACAAGGAAATTCAGACACGGGGAAATGTAATTATTTGTGATTGAAACAAATAGCAGCCAGTTTATGCATATACTCTTCCTGTTGAATTAACCTTAGTCCACTGAATTGACTTATTTTCATGTTCTATTGTACTTTCAGAGGTAGCCATATGTTTTTTGCGTTCTGTTTCACATTCTGCTTCTTTTAGTCATCAGAACTTAATGACACAAAAATTGCTATCGGAGTTGACACGGTTGTTCCCTCTTGATGGTAGTCTTTAAGTAGAAGCCTAATGTGACAGGTGAGAGCGCTGAGGCTCAGTGTTTCGCACAGACTTCAAGATAATAATACATAAAACCCACTCCTGCAGAACTTGGAAAACTATTCTAGAGGGGAACAGATTTTCTCCTCTGTCATTTACTTGCTTCGTGTTTCTACGCCTAGAAATGTGTATGAAAACAGGAATTTAGTTGTTCAGGAGCTCATTTACTCCCGCTGTGCAGGCATCACAGGAAATCATAACCCTCTCTTTTGGGAGCAGCTGAAGACTAGGTAAGAGTATAGATCAAATGAACCCTGGGAGATTAAAGAGGGCTGAGATCCACACTGGATTTAGGGCTGGGTTTAACTGGAAAAGGATGGATGCTTGCATTTGATATTGGCAGAATCTTGTTGATAGCTAATTTTGGCTCAAAATGAGGGAAGTCGTGTGAGGCCTGAGCTGTGTAAGGGCAGGTTCAGAGCAACCAGGACATAGGTATGGAGGTGGCAGCAGGCAGAGGAAATGCTCCTGGAGATTACTTTAGTGCAGTAAAGTCATTCCAGCGAGGTCTCCATCACTCTGAATGGAGCTCTCACAGAAACAGTTATTCCTGGGGAATTTCAACAGTGCCTAAACCAGAGCGGAGTGAAAGAGCCTCTTCCATTCAGGAGGGTAGCCTGAACCCCGCTGGAAATGAGGGTTTGCATCCAGGCATCCATCTCCAGGATGTGCACTGCCAGACTTCACAAGGTTTCACACGTGAGGTTTGGGGCTCACGTGGGGATTTCAGTTCAATCTGAAATGAGTTAACTCACTTTAGATTAATCTGTTTTGGGTAAAAGCACTACATCAAGCCCCAAAGAATGATACGAGTCAAGTTAATTCTTTGGGTATCAAAGGTACAGAAAGTTTTCCATTTCAGAAAATTGCATCTTTCCTTTCCTGCTTTTCATTATTTGCATAATTTGCATGAAAATAACATCTCTGCTTATGAGCTTTTGCCCCCACTGCTTTATTATTCACTCAGAACAGTTGTTCTTTGCATATGATATCATTGTTATTTGCTATTGAAATGCTTTCAATGTCACAAAAAGGATTAAGATTTCAAGTGAGGAGTGAGCAATAGGAAAACCTGATCACCTCAGCAACAGAAGTCCTGTTTCATGCCTGTGTCTAATTATACCTAACAAGGCAAAAAAACCCTGTCACAGAGGGAGAGATTCATTCTCCTTCCTTAACAAAGTGTTTTTCTACATGGTAGGCAAAGCTGGTGGTTATTTAAACACGCCAGGCGAAGTTATTTGTTAGGCTTCAATGTCAGGTTGAGCTAAAGGATGCTGTTGTGACAAGGACCGGCAGTTTGGGGGATCTGAGGTGCTCAGACCCTTCCCCATCACAATCTTCCATCACAGCATCAGCCTGGTTTGGGCTCTAAAGGACCTTAAAGCTCATCCAGCTCTTACCACGGGCAGGGACACCTTCCAGCAGAGCAGCTCGCTCCAAGCCCCATCCAACCCGGCCTTGAGCACTCCTAGGGATGGGGCAGCCACAACTTGAGCCGGGAGGGTGAGTGCTGGGGTAGCCATGGCTCTGCCCTCCCAGTGCCACCTTCCCAACCCTCCATTCATCCCAGCAGCAGCAGAAGTGGCCCCCGGGGGGGTGGCATTAGCGATGCCGCATCGCGCTGCCCCATGCCTGGCTCAAGAAACCCTTACGCCTGGCAGCGGTGGGTACCAGTTCCCCCCGCAGGGACCCCGCGGCCTTCCCCGTCCCTCAGGGGATGCGCTCCGCGCTCAGCTCCCGCCCTCCCCGCGCTACGAGCGCGGTGCGGCCCAAACCCGAGGTAAACTCCCCCCGGGAACCTCCCCTCGCTGCAGGGAAGGCGCTGGAACGGCCCCGTCCCGCCCCGCCACCCCCTCCTCCGGGCCGGCAGGAGCCGCTGCGGGCGGCGCGGCCATGGGCGAGGCGGAGGGAGGCTCGGCGGGCGCAGTGGAGAAGCCGCCGCTATCCGCGGCCGGGCCTGGAGCCGCCGCGGCGGTCGCTGCCGCCGTTGCAGCCGCCGCCGCGGCAGCTGCCGCCGCTCCGGAGCCCGGCGTGCCCGCGGAGGAGGCGGTGGTGGTGTGGAGCCCTGAAGTGGAGGTTTGCCTCTTCCACGCCATGCTGGGCCACAAGCCCGTAGGTGAGAGCAGGCCGCGGCCTCGAGTAGCGGCGCTAGCGGGGGAGGAGAACCAGGCGCTTGGGCAAGGGGCGGTGCTTTGGGCCCGGATCCGCTGCGGCTGCCGGCCGGGGGCCCCGGGGCTTTTACCGGCCGCAGCGGGACTTGTGGGGAAGGCGGTGCCGCGGCACGGAGCCAGCCCGCCTCGCTCCCCCCGCCATCGCCTTTCGTGGCTCGCCGCCTTGCTGACCTCGGCTGTCGGTCACACAGCCCCCCTAAAAGCCCTGCGGCTGTGTCAGCGGTGCCCCTGGGGCACCCTCAGCCCCTCTCCAGAGCAGCACCTGGAATGCAGGGTGAAATGCCGGCCCCCAGAGCTCCCCGTGTTGCCCCGCGTTTCTTCTATAATGTATGACCTTGTAACAATAGGATGGGGGGGGTTTATGATTCTGTGAAAGAAAGTCGCGTTAATTGCGTGGAGTTCTTTCCCCAGGTGTGAATCGCCATTTCCACATGATTTGTATCCGGGATAAATTCAGTCAGAATATTGGACGGCAGATTTCATCCAAAGTGATTTGGGATCATCTGAGCACCATGTATGACATGCAAGCTCTTGTGAGTATCAAGGGTGGATGCAGCCACGTTCTTACTCCTTACAGTTTTGAGAGTTTCAGTAGGCCAAAATCACTGGGCCTGGCACACCTACTAAGAATTACGTGGTATTCAGTGAATTGATGGGGTTTTCCCCTGTTTAAAAGTACATTAGGTGGGAGACAATAAAACCAGCACTGATCCGTGTTTTGTTCTGTTGTCCATACTGTGTTGTGACTTAGTTTATTAAAGTTGCCTAAGTGCTGACCCAGCAAACGTTTGCATGGGTAACTTAAGTATCAAATAAGGAGGTTATAGTGTGTTTGCATAAGAATTTGTCCTGTTGGTGTCCAGAAATTATCTCAGGTATCTTAACCTTAATAATCATTTTGACACCAAGAGCCTCCTGATCTCTAATGTCTGAAGTGTCCTGCTAGGAATTATTTAGCTACTAGTTGCATGTGAAATAGGACTTGAGGTTGCACTTCTAAATCCAAGTTAAATTTGTTACCAGAGTCATTCACAGAGACCTTCCTTTCCTTTCTCAGCACGAATCTGAGATTCTTCCATTCCCTAATATAGAGAAGAATTTTGCTCTTCCTGACGAAATGATTCAAGAAGTGAGAGAAGGTAAGATGTCATAGGAGTCTCTTATTCTTGGTTGCTTGGACGGAAAGGATCACAGTGCTTGTGCCATTCATATTCTCAGCTTCTGTGAATGGCCACTGTAGCAGACAGGCTACAGACCTTTGGACAGATGCCACACAGTATTTCTGTGTTCTTAAGTGTAATGTAGATGGGATGCTAATGTATCACAAACATGTTCTATTTATACCATTTACATTTAGCTTCTCCTGGGTATACACAAAAGGTGCTTCACTGATGTTCATTTGCAGAGTGAAAGGCAAAATGTGATTCATTGCACTGTGAAATCATCTCTCAGTAGTGTTACCTTCTTGGGATTCAACTACCTCGCTCTTCCAGATCTCTCTCACTCATGATAGGCCTGTCTGTATTGCCTAATGTAATGTGCAGCAGTTTGACAGAAGTCTTAGGCTGAGCAGTGAGAGCTGGATTTTCAAAGTTTAGCAATACGTGTGTTGCTTGGTACTGTTACCCAAGGTAGGAGCTACAAAGTTCAAGCATCACCAAAGGAGTCTGAGGGATATTTTGGATTACAGCTTCTCAATTACTAGGTTACACTAAACTCTACACTAAAAATTCAGCATAAAAATCACAGTATAGCTAAGACACTGCAGTATGTTTTGTCTGTTTAGCATTTTACTAGCTTCTTCTTAATTTCAGTGGAACTTCTTGACATGAGACACTATCTTGTTTAGTGCTTCAGTATGCCTGGGCTATATTTTATATATTTGTTAGCTGTGTTTTTCTGGCACAGTGCTGAGGAACCTTTCTAAATTACTGCGGAATGTTGCACTGAGTATTTGTTAACACCGTGTACATATGCTGAGGCTACTAATCCTGAAAGAGCTACGTGGTTCTTTAAGAGTCTAACCATTGCTAACAATCCTTTCTATAGGAAAAGTAATGATAGAAGAAGAAGTAAAAGAGGAAATAAAAGAAGAGATGGAAACACATGCAGGTCCAGAAGAAGGTAAATTTGTAACTCTCTACTGTGTAATACGAGATTAAAAACCAACTGTAACTCTTGAGAAATTAATGTCAAAATGTAAATCCCAAATCCAATGTACTTTGTGATTTGTATTCAGACTTAGCATATGCTTGTGCCAAGAACTAGAGTAACTCCAGAATGCACAGAATAAGCAGTTGCCCGCATCTGATACTTTGAAAGATTTCTCCTTTGCTCCTAATTTGTGTGTGCAAAGTTGTATAGCTTTGGTTTTAATATGTACTTAACAAAACCCTGGGAGCCTGAAGTAATCGAAGGATCTCTGAAAGTGGAGACTGAAATACTCTGTGTTAGGATCTTTGTAGCCATGGGGAAAAACATGGGCCTATAGATCAAAAAAGATGCTTAAATGGGTGGGTGGGGAGAGTGGGGTTTTATCTTCTTTGCATTATCTTGCTTCTTACAAATCTAAGGCTTATTTTCCTAACACTTTGCTGTAGAACAAAGTCAAATGTGAACAAGTAGAGATCCTGCTATTTCCCTTAACAGGCCAAGCTGTTAACTATATAACTTTATAATATTTATATCACAGAATAAGTGGTGTTTTAAGACTGAGTGTAATAAAAGATTTAAGAATGTATTTTAAAAAAATATATTAAATTTCATATTCTGGGTGTTCAGCTTTAAAATCTGTAATACCAAATGTATTGACTTCTGCTGATGATAAATCTCATAGATCGGTCCTCTGTTCTGTAAGTGTTCCTCTTAAGTATTTCAAGTGCTGTTTAATTCCACTTACTGAATTTCATTTTTTGCCTGTCTTTAAAGCAAATAATAAAAGCAAGATGTGCCTTTCTTACAGATTTTTCCTTGAAATATTAAAGTCATATTTAAACGGTGGTTAATTATGCTGAGAATGGCTTGGTTTGGAAAGTTTGATGTAATATAAAGAAGTTTGATGTCACTTCTTGTTTGCCTATGTGTATGACTCTGATCTGGAATCATTACTTTGATCCTATTTCAGTTTTTGCACCCTCTGGAAGTTTAGGAAAAACAACTGAAAAACCAAGCAGCAAAGAGAAAGAGAAAACTTCATCAGATCCTGGGTCCAAAGAAGGATCTGATAAGAGGAAGCGCAACAGAGTCACTGAAAAGGTCTTAAACGCGAACAGTAATCCTTCCAGCCCCAGTGCTGCAAAGCGGCGCAGAACATGAAGCAAGCTGTGAAAGAGAGAAGTCAAAACTGGAACATGAGGAGGGAACAGTAAAAAACGAGTAGCAGGATACTCGCTACATAAACTTTTGGAGGAGGGGGGAAAAAGAAGCCAGGTATTTGAAGAGTCTGCACATTGGCTTTATAATCAGAAGACTCTGGTGTTCCTGATGTGTTCTCTGCTCAGCAGTGAGTGGCTGAGTGACAGCTACCTTCTCAGGGCACTGGGAGTGAAAGCTGGCAGTGTCCAGAGATCATGAATATGTAACAGTTCCTGTGGCTGCGTTTCAAACGGGTAACACACCCTGTATCAGCATGGTTCCTCCAGCAAGTGCTCAGTGAAACACGGAGCCTTGGTTCCTGAAAAGCAAAGGTTGTTTCTGTAAATCTGGGGTAGTTTTTCCTGCCTTTGCTTTGTTGCGCTCTTTGAATCTTACAGACCCTCTGAGGGTAACATTTGGCCATTTTACTTAATGCTAACATTTGGCCATTTTACTTAATGCTAACATCGTGTTTGCATCAAATGCTTGACTTTGTTGGTTCAGTGAAACCAAAATCCTAAATCCACATAACCACTGAGTTATTCTCACTGTATTCTCTCATTCCATTTGCTGGAGGAACCTTTACTTCTTTCACCCTTAGAGATGTAATGTTTTTCAATCTTTGTAAGTTTATATTCCGAAGTGAAGTGAAAATAATGCCCCCAGATAGAATAATAACTGTCCTAAATAAAATACCCCAATGTCACTTGTAGGGGATCTGCTGAACCTGGAGGTGTTGCTTCATCCATTTATAACACAGTAGAATGTAACAGAGAGGTTTGTACTTAATTATTTATTGTTTTTTTTTTAAAGCAGTTTTAGTAGATTGTAATGGAATTGGTATTCCAAAATGTTACTTTTGTTGTAAAACTTCAGAATCTTCCTGACGTTGTAATGCTTCTCTTTTATATGCTAGAATATTCAGATTTGATGAAGTTCTTATTTTTGTGTTGTGCAAAGATGGACCACAGTCAACAAACGTGTTAAATGGTGAACAAAGTAGACTGACAAGTTACTGTATTTGTTTCACCATGTTAACTACCAGTTACTGAAAAGAAGAACTACTTCTTGATCCATCAGTATTGCCTTCAAAGTGAGAAACTGGGAATCTGCTAGTTTTTGCTTTGTATTCTAGGTACGTAGCGAAGTTCTGGTCTGCCTTTTTTGCTTCACTTGTTTTATATCAAGAATAAATTTGACTTGTTTTTATTTTACTAAATGGGGATTGTTGTGCAACTTGATTAAAACTTGGTCCAACTTACTTTGGAAGTTATTCAGACACCTTGTGCCTTTAGTGAAATTGGTTTTACTAACTTTACCTGGACTTACGGACTACTACCTTGTTATTTCTAGAAGAGACTTGATAATCCTTGCCTGCTGACCCTGAGAGTCAGGTCGCTCTGAGCTTCCAAACTGGAGGATGTTCTCTGTTCTGACTAGCAAGAAGCAGTTACGAAGTATGGTGTTAGAAGGTCAGAACTCTTATCAGGATGCCCAATGTAACTGCTTGCAGCCTGATGCAAGCTCACTGGTTTAGGGTCTGAAGTAGTGGGGCATAAAGTTGTTCGTGTCACCAAACGAATGAAGTGCTGTGAATTTAGTGCTACACTTGGATAATCCCTGCAAAATGTCCTGGGTTTAATTTTGATGTTTAAAATGAATGTATTCGGTCTGGGCAGGTTTCTAGAGGTTGTCACTTCTCCATCTACCATCAGAGTGAGTGCTGGAAGCTGAATGGTGCTGTTAAATTTTGCTGCTTCCAACGTGCTCGTTACTTTGTCCTGATCTACACAGGTATTGGCCAAAAAGTGCAGATTTTGTAGCTTACAAATCTCACAGCCTTGGGGTTAAATCCTTTGCATCCATCTAGTCGATTTATATGTGTATATATATATATATATATATATATATATATATATATGCACACACTAATGAATTGTTTTCATAGCTAGATTTGAGCCAATATTAACATGTACTGATGCAATCCCAGAAGCAGGGAGAAGCCCACTTGGAATTTCACGGTCAGTCCAGTGGCACAGGTATTTTAGGAATTGCTTGGTTGAGAAGTTAGGTATTGGGCACCTGCGAGTGCTTTGAGTGACCTGTGTGTTGCTGCTCGCTCCTTCCCTTCCCTGGCATCAACTCCTGGCTCCTTAGGAAGGTTGTTCTTGTATTCATTCTCCTGTGAGAGGAATATTGCCGTGGAAGGAGTCAGTTTTTAATGTGTGAAGAACACCCAAGACTTGCTAAACTCCAAGGGGAAGAGGAAGCTCCAGTGTTTTGTTTCCATCAGCGATCACCCCGGGGCACGCACACATAGAGCCTATTCGGGACCCCTTAGAGCTGCCCATCGCCCGGTTTAATGGCAAAGAGCAGGAATCCTTTTCCCACTCGGTTTTCCCTCGGGTGGACCCACGAAGGGGCTGGATCCACCACGGGCGTGAATGGAGCGGCGGCGGGCGGGCGCAGGGACCGCGCGGCGAGCCGGGAGGTGGCCAATGGGGCGCGGCGGCGCAGGAAGGAGGCGTGGCCTTCCCGCGCTTCCTTCCCTCCTGTCCCGCCCCACGTGCTCGCGCTTTGTGCCGCGCCGCTCTTTCGCTTTCCCTTTCCCGTCGCTCTTCCCTTTCCCTTTCCTTTCCCTTTCCCTTTCCTCTTCCCGTCGCTCCCGCCGCGCTCCCATGGCGGCCAGGCACGGCTTCGGGGCGCTGGAGGACGAGGCGTGCCTCTGGGAGTACGACTCCACCTGGGAGGAGGAGGAGGAGGGCGAAGGAGAAGAGGAGGAGGAGGAGGATGGCGGCGGCGAAGGCGAGCTGGAGGCAGCAGCCGAGGAGGATCCGCAGGATGAAGGCGAGCAGTCGGCGCTGAGCTGGGCGCAGAGCTGCTGGCAGGCCCAGGTGGGTCCGGGGTCCCCGCGGTGAGGAAGCCCCTTCTGTCCGCTCCGCGGCTGTCCCGGTCCCGCTCGCTGCAGCTTTCCTCCCCTTAGTGCGCAGCAGAGGGGTCGGCACCGTCAGGGTTACAGCGACCCTCGGGATCAGCCCAGATACTCGCGTGTGCGGGTGATGCGCGCCCTGGATCCTCCCCGGCCACCCCCTCCTCTGCTGTCAGTGCATGTGGGCTACTTCTCTGCAGTTCCTAATTTGCTGTCAGGAAATGGAGCAGCTTAAATTGCTTCCAAAAAGTAAAACATTTTTTGCCCTGGCAGTGATTTATAGCGTATAATTTTGTCCTCATCTCCATGAAGCAAAGGCGACGTGACCCGAGGCCCGTTCAGAAACGAGCTCTGGGTGGTGAAGGCAGAGGTGTGATGCGACTTTATGACCCCTTAAGTTCCATTAGACCACCATGAGTTGGGTTTTAATATTTCTTTCCCCACCATTCCCTGTGATCTGGATACATTATTGCATAAATACAAGTTCTGCCCCACACCTGCCTGTTCATCGTATCCTCATGGCCTCTGGATTTGATGTTATAACATTGATGTTCTTCAGGTACTGCCTGGTGTGCAGTTCTTTGTTGGTATCTTCATCTCTGAATGGTGGCCTTTTCTATGCTTTTTGATGCCATCCATAAGAAGCCATCACATAACATGTTTTTTCCCTCGGGAGCATATTTAGAGCAACTCTAAAACCAAAATACCCATCAGTGTTTTAAAACCTGCAGGTATATGTGCAGCAGTTACAGTAAGTGAGGTGGTGCTGCGTAATATGAACAGTTGTGGCTGAAAACAAAAACAATCTTGATTTGAAATAAGAACTTGTTAATCTTACCTGAAGTTCCTGTATTTAGCATCAATGTGTTTGATGTGGAGTGTCAGTGATTTCTTCTACAGCATCGCTTTGGCAAATACAAAACTTGTGTCTCTGTTCTTCAGTATTTCTTGGGTCAGTCAAAACACACTGAGTTTAGTCCTTTAACTCCTCCCCTTACAGAGAAAGGGAAACTGATCATTCACTTGGGTTTCATTTTGGTGGCTCATCCCTATTCTTTGACTATAAGTAGGTAGATAAAGCTTTGTAAGTAATACACTTGTAAAGGAGCTTAATGTTAAGCTTTAAATTGTTTTTAATAAGCATTAAGATGTTAAAATAACTTCCCTTTAAAAAAAGTAATTCTGTGCAACACCATATTCCAAACGCTCATGATTCCTACAAAAATATGCACTCTATTCTTTGCTTTTCAACTTTGATTTTATTTGCAGCAGATGGAGATGCCCGTGCGTGTCTCTGCATCTTCATGGAGCTTCCTGCAGGGAATGTGGTGAGGCCTTGGCTGTGCACCTGGGTCTGTGCAAGGTCACAGGTGTTTCAGGTGGAATAGTTGTAAAACTTACAGAAGGCAGAGATTGCCTTTAAAGTGTTCTGCATTGTTTGAGGGCACACTGGCAACTTCCTTCTGTACTCTGGTGTTGTCCACGCGTGTTAATGCCTCCACAACATTCACGTTGTTCCTTTTTAAACGAGTTTCTTCTTCAGATGTTTTTGTTTTCTTAGAGCTGCTTCTGGATTGTGGCCACTCTAAAAGCAAGGACCAGTTTTTCACTCCAGTGAGTGGACTCAAACTTTGCCTCACAAAGGAGGATCCTTGTCCCTGAGACTTGCAGCCCTTGGAGTACTCTTCTGCATCTTTAAAGAGTTCTTCCATCAGTAATGAACACGTATTCACCTCTGTCTGACAGTGCCTGAAACATTTTTAAGGGCAGTGAGAGCGGATGCAGAAAGAAACAATAAATTCTGTGTTGTCCATTAACGCCTTTGCAACCTGCCAAAGGCTTGAATCGGTTTCCAGAAGTAGTTCCTATTTCTGCTTATATTGCACTAATTCTCATTCTTCTCCCCTCAGCTTTCGTGGTGCACTCTATTGCTGAAGCTGCTAATGTTTTCATTCAATACTGAGGTTAGAGGGTTTTATTGCTCTTCTTTTCACTGCGTGCTTTCAAAGCCAACCCAAAGTTCTGCTTTTATCTTTGCATTTCACTCGTGTCTCTCCAAATCCTCCTTGTGAGTGGATTGAAATTCCTGCAGGGGTGTCTTTTCAATTCTCTTGCGTTTTGGGGCTTTTAGTGTCTTAGGAGTGAGCATTGAGAAGCTTGGGGTTTGTATTCATTTTATAAAGGTCTTTCTAACTTGGAAAGGGAAGGTTATGTTTCTGTGTGGCTTAAATAGGAGTTTATAGAGACCCAGAAACAGCACCTGCTTAGAGGGAGGGCTGAGCTTTGCTTTCTTTGCTTCCCCATCTTGTTCTCTTCCATGCTGAATTTCAGGCAGAATGCCTTTCTCCTGGGTCTAGCCTCTTTCCAGATAACCCATACAGCACTTTGCATCTCTCTCAGTATCTGCGCTTACTCTGCAGCAACTCAGTTGTGTTAGCCTCTCCCACCTGACTCTGTTAGTGGATGTTATTTTAGAACATGAGGTGTAAAGAATATCTGGAAGTTTTTGCTTTTATAGCTGGGAACAAAATGTTCATGAATTCCATGTGTATCAGGATTTCATCCTTGGGGTTCAGAAGTCAACAGCATCGATGAATTTGAGTGCTGAAGCCCAGCCTCTGCTTACATTGTGAACAAAAGAATGGTATTGATCTGTTTTGGCTGAACACATTTCTTAGTCTTGTGTTGGCAGCCACTTGCTTTTTTAGCTGGGTAGCAAAGCTTTTTATAGGTGGGTGCATTTCTGCAGTCTGGGTGGGTTCTGGGGATGGACACCAGCGCTTGGATTGGGCCATGCGCCTGTGGGAAGTTCTGCCACCTATTTTGGTCTATGTTGTCATGTATAAAATAGAAATGGGTTGCAATACAGACAGGCAGTATTTTAGGTCATCACAAGTTACTACATTTAAAAACCAACTTGAGCTTTGTTTAATTCCTGTCCAAAAAGATGGGGGAATCATAGTGTGTCTATGATTAGTAAATGTATGTTGAAAACTCTCCATTGATGGCTTCCCTCTGTGGATAAAGGTTTGATCTGCCAGATGGTGTGCGTGCTTCATGAATTAAATATTAACAACCAACAGGGCAGCAGAATGGATGACTTTATTATAAGGCATTACAAAATCTAATCCAGTTCCTGCCTTAATAATTAATGAACCAGTGATCAGTGTACACTAGAAAGCGGTTTTAAGAAGTATCTCATTAAATTAAAGAGTAACTTTCTGCTTCTTTCTTCTAAGTTTCTTAAAATGCTTGTTTTGCAAGAGCTTGCCCATCTTATTCCATTTCACAAAGACCCTGCTCTTGCTGTGAGCTGGGGTTGAACGCTCTAACTGCACTGTGCTTGGTGTTGGGAGCATTCATGAGCAGTCTGGTTCATTGTGATGGTTCTACCTTGACAGGACACTTTAAAGCACTTTAACAGTTTGGGACAAGATGCTCCAGCACTCAGCAACATTAAACCTGTCTGTGCAGCTTGTGAAGTGTAACAAAATCTCTTATCATTGAACTGATGCACTGTAAAAATGCATTTGAAATGAAGTCATACTTGCAGCTTCTATTTCCATGGAGTTCAGAGGAAGAAATGAAGCTGTTCTTTGTGATTTCTGTCTAAATGCTACCTTCGAGATGAGCCTGGCACACGTGTAGTGAGGAAGCTGACACCTAATTATCAGGTGGACGTGGCCCCACAGCTTTTTCTCTGTGGCAATTTGAATTATGAATAGAATCAAGTGACTTCAGCTGTAACTAGGTAAATCTGTCACTTGGCAACTGGTAGGGACCATGTGAGTCACTGCTGTGGGTATTCTTATTTCACTTGTTTTATTAGTCAAGTTTGGTTTCGGGATGCTTCAACTAAATGCCTTTTATTTGTAGGAGCCAAAATCAAATTCGTCACCGTTGTTTCGGAGGAGTTTTCAGGTAGGCTTCACATAAAGGTTGGTTACTTGGAGACATGAGCGATGATGAAGATGATAATTGGAACAGCATTCCAATAAAATAAATATCTCAATGTGACCATATGGCTCTGTTATTGTGCACTGTCTGGATCAGCATGATGTTGAATCAGCAAGGCTGCTCTTGACTATAGAGCAACGATGAAGAAAACTTTATTTCAACCATGTCTGCAGGGAACGAGAATCTTGAGTTTAGGGAATATTTGTACATCCTAAATTCAACAGTTTTAAAGTCTGATCTCTGTCTTGCTCAGACACAGACAGGCAAGCAAGGCTTAGTTTGTCTTGTTTTAAAACCATGGAGTTAAGGAAGAAAATGACATGTAAAATGTTGGGGATATCCAGCGAGTTCTGAGCATTTCTGTGGGAAAGCCCAGCTGGGATAAAAGATGCACATAAAACATGAAGACCTTGACTAGTAAGACTAGAAAGAAAAGGAAATGTTTTGGCTAAAGGAGATAATGGGAACTTCTTGTAGTGCAAAGTTGTCTTCAGGAATGTAGAGAAAGGAAAGGACTGCAGTAACAAACTGGCTGGTTTGGAGGAGTGGAAATTGATAGGCAGGGGAACATGTGTATGAGATGCCAGATTCAGGCAATGGATTTTGTTTCTTTGGGTTTCCTTTAGAAGACAGCTTTATTCTGGATCTATCTCTTTCCTCCAGTTCTCAGGGAGGCGCAACTGGAATGCAGCAGAAGACTTGCAGAGATACAGACATCAGTACCCGGTATGGACTAGACGATGCTCGGACCCCTGTGGCTCTTCCTCACTGCATGTTGCCTTTAGGAACACGTTCTAGATTTTAGGGCACCTTTTAGTCTTTACACTGACAGGCTGAGAGCCTTTAAAGGATTCATTTGTGAGGGGGAAGGGATGATGTGTATGTGGGTGCATCTGAAACAAGCTGTTACTTCCCCAAACACATTTCAAGGATTCAGCTTGAAATGTTTAGGAAGCGAGAGGGAGTGCAAGGAGGAGCACTGAGTAGGGCGGTGAATAGGGGCAGTGAATGCTGCCTTTTAAAAGAGTGCTGCTTCTTGATTTCTTGTTCTCATTGCCAGGATTTGATGGAGTCAGAAAATGAGGAGGAAGAAGAGATGCTGAACTTAAGGTTTTATAAAAACAAGACTCGCTTTTTGCCCCAGGGTGAGTGCCTTGTGTGATAACTGATGCAATCTGCTGCAGTTGGTTGAATTGATGACGGCGTAGCTTGATCCAGGTGGGACACATGCTAAAAAACCCAAACCAAACAAAGCACCACCAAGAATTTCCCTTTGAAAAACGTCCTTGTTCCTGCTCTGTGTTCCTTAATGTTCTGTTTGGTGGTAGAAAAGGAAGGTGTTTTTCTGGGCTTGCCTGGTTGTCTCATTGGAGAAGCCAATACCTGTATGCAAACACCTTGGATGAGTGGCTAATTGTAATTCTTATTTGGCATCATTTCGTCCTGCCTGACTTTTTCCTTTTCTGTCCAGGTTTGTTTATTGAAAATCTGCTTGAATCTTGGTGGGACAACTATGAAGTTCTGGAAGAAAACCATTCTTACATACAATGGTAAACTATCTGCATGAACATAGTGTCTGTCTTTAGCTGTGCCTCTGAAGAGTCACTTGTATCTCTGTTGCTGGATTCAGCTTCCCAAAAGACCCAGAATTGCTCTTCAGTGAAACCTGAGTCCACTTTGTTTCAATTGAGTTATATTCTGCTGCAAACAATGCAGTGGAAAGCCTGAAGACACAGGTTTGCAGCGTAGCTGTGCCAGTAGATCTCGGTCATCCTTGGTTTTACAGCATACTGCAGAACAAGAGAGATGCAGATAAGCAAAGAGCATTATCACTGGTGTAGACGATGCTTTTATGAGAGAGATTTGTCTTACAGTGAACTATTTCTGTATCCATAAGGATGTGAGTTCTCCAAGAGATGTCTGTGATATCACAGATTCTGGAATCTTTTTAGTTTAAACAAATGGGTGCCCTGGTTGGATGTCATCTTTGCCCGTCTGCCCTGAATATTCCTTTCCCTTCAGGCTATTCCCTTTACGTGAACCTGGGATGAACTGGTATGCCAAACCACTCACGTGTCGAGAAATCCAGGTACTTAAAGCTTTTGTCTTTTGAGATCTGAAGGATAATGGGATTTTGCCTATATTTGAAGTCTATAGAGTCTTTTAAATTGCTTCCTTGGGCTGTAGTGAGAAGGGAGCTCACTTGAGCACTGTTAAGCATTCCTCTGTCTTGTGTCTGCCAGTAGCTACCCAAGCAAATTAAACACTTAGTGATATAGTAATAAAATAAGCCTTGTTTATGATTCAGGCGCAGCTTGAACTGGTGCAGGTCATTAGGGAGTTGCACCTTGTACTCATCGCCCGGTCTTGTTTTCAGGCCTTCAAGAAGTCCAAGGAAGTCATGCAAAGATTTATCCGTGCTTATCAGCTCATGCTGGGATTTTATGGAATCGCTCTGATTAACGAGGAAACCGGAGAGCTCAAGAGAGCAGAGAACTGGGCTGAACGGTTTCAGAACCTGAACCGGTGAGTGTCTGTCTATGCTGCTGCTCATTACTGCAGGCAGGCTCTTGGAGGAGAAAAAGGAAGTGGAGAAAACCCTCAGCCTTTGAGGAATGGAGGCTTTTACTGATAGGAAAGTTAGCCAGTTAAAGTCTTTTTAACTTGGCTCAGCCTCTGCAGGTCATCATGCTCTCGGTGACTTTAAGTGACAAGTATAATAAGTAAACCAGCTGAGCCTGGTGTGTTCTTTTCCATCCGGTGCAGCTGTTAACAGCAGGCATCCTTCATGCTGCTCTGGCTGAAATACAAAGTACAGACTTGGAGATGTTAACATTTGCTCTAGCAGAGCTTATGTTTTAAACCATATTTTAAGCAGGAATCAATGAGACATTGTCACAGGTAGGCAAATTGCCTTTGTTAGCATTTGGTTAAACTACAAAATGGGAGTGTTTCCATCTGCTTCCCTGCTTGCTTATAAAGATGCCTTAATGTGTGGAAGATGCTTGGAGTCCTCGGTTGAAAAGTGCTCTTTGACTTGGTGGTAATGGTTTTATATGCTTGCAGGTCTCATTAATGGTTTTATATGCTTGCAGGTCTCATCATAGACATAGCAGTGACCTCCATGTTCTAGTGCCTCTCGTGATATTAAAAAGGGCTAAAAGGGCTGGGCATGCTCACAGAATTAAAACCAACTGCAGAGTCACTGTCAGGGACAGGAGATTGGGCTGCATGGACCTGTGTGTATCTGACCAATATGGTAGCTGTCATCTACTGATGCAGAAAGCCAGAACTGACTGCTGAGGTTGATCACCTCAACTACATGGAAGGAAGGTGCTGCTGAAGGCAGACAGCAGCAGTAGGTGCTTTAAAAGTAAACCCACCTGTGCTCCCATCTGCATTGTCAAATAGGCTGTAATAGAGGATGGTCAGTAATACCCTGAATGTTTTGCAGATAGCCTCAAGGTTCATATTGACTTGTAAGGCTTTCTCTTAACAGCTTTGCTTCTCCGTTTCGTTCAGGTTCAGCCACAACAATTTGCGGATTACTCGCATCCTGAAGTGCCTGGGGGAGATGGGATATGAACATTATCAAGTGCACTTGGTAAAGTTTTTCCTAACAGAAACTCTTGTTAAGGAGACGTTACCAAATGTCAAGAGAAGTGCCTTGGATTACTTCCTGTTCACCATCCGGAGCAAACAGAAGAGGAGAGAACTGGTCCACTACGCTTGGCAACACTTCAGACCTCGAGACAGCTTCGTGTGGGGGCCACACCACAAACTCTTGAAGTACAGACCCCGCTCTGCCAAGTCACAACTGCAGCAAAAGGCTGAAGATAAACAGGAAACTCCTGGTAGAAAATGTGATGGTTCTGTGGATCATCAGAGCCAGTCTTCAGAGGAAGAGCAGGAGGCTGGAGATGCTGCAAGGTTGGAGGCTGGAGATGCTGCAAGCTTGCATCCGGAAGTGAATGATAAAGATGTAAAAAAGAAGAAAAGTGAATGTCCTTTGAAAGGAGGAGGTGATGAGGAGGCGAAAGAAGCTTCATTTACCCAGCAGGAGGAGGAGGATTTAAACAGTGAGGCTGAAGAAGTGCAGGGTGCAGCAGAGAATGATTGCACAAAGGAGAGCAAGAAGAGAAAACTGGATGCAAATAGGGTAGATGCTAACAGTGGACCGTTGAAAAGCCCCACTGATATTGAAAACATTTCCCATAACCTGGGAGAATGTGCAATTGATGCAGAAATCCCCTCCTCAGCTCCACTCATAGAAGCAGAAGAGGACAAGGAAACACTGAAGGAAGAGAATGCAAGCACCAAAGACCCAGCAGCACCAGAGAGCACTGATGCTGCTGTGAAACGGAGGAAAGTAGATAAAAGAACAATGAGAAACAGACCATGCAACCTGGCCATAAACCTGAACATGGGGATCAAGTCAAATCCATCAGTTGCAAACGCTGAGGCTGAAAATGACAGTGAGAAAATTGCAGCTGTGGATGTGGTGAGAGAGAGGAGCGGTGGTGATGCAAATGGTGGGGCTGTGGGACCCCCAGTCGATTTCAGGCTGCCCAAGTCTGGCTGGACTTCTCCAATAAGTGATGGCTTGGAGGCGAGTGGAGACCGAGTCAGAGCAAGGAGTGATGAGCACCACTGCAACAGCACATTCCTGCAAGGGAAAAGTGAGGTATATGGGGTAGAACAGCATCAGAAGGCAGAAAATGCGAGTGAAAAAGAGCAAGCAGAAGTCACAGGCAAGAAACATCCTCCAGAGAGTCTTAAGCAGAGCATTGCATCCCCTTGTCCTGAAGAAGACAGTACTGAGTGTGCAGCAGAACCCGCTGAGGAGCTGGTAGCAGCAAGTGACACCAGCATGGGAAGCACTTGAGCAAGCAAAGATGACACTGCCCTAACTGCTAGGAGCCAGCTTGTGGTTTGGATAGCAGAAGTAGACAGAAGAATAAACTTCCTTTGGCTGATCCAGGCTAGACCCTCTCTGACTTGCACTCTTCAGCTCTTTTTTAATCATCTGTAGTGATTTCACTGAGATCCAGTCCTTGGCTGCCCTAGAGAGGAAAACTGATTCAGTCACTCCCCCACCAGCTGTGTGCTGTTCCTGGTTTTTGTCTGATTTTCAGGACTATCTTGGAGCAACAGGGATTTTTGCACTTTGATTCTGGTACGCCCCCTCTTAAAGAGGCAGGGAGAACTGGTCTGTTCCCTTGTTTGAACTGGTCAAGTTCTTCTTAAATACACGGTGTTCAGTGTAAGACAGCATGACCTAACTTGCCAAAACTTTCTATTACCCTGTAATTTCTATTTGTTATTTTGGATGGCTGTACCTTCCCAGGGGGGTTATTCCTGGCAAAGGTGCAGTTTCCCCCAAAGAGAAGGGTATATATATATATATATATATATATATATATATGCATTTCACATCATGTAAGAGTACTGTTGCCTCTTCTCTGATAAAGAAAGTGGGTTTGACTTTAGGCTGGGATAAAATGCATAGGCAAAACTGCTCTCTGACCAGTATTAAACCTCAAAGAGATACTGTTCTCTAGGGTACAAAGTGCTGACTAACGTGTTCCCTTTACCACCGCTGAAGTGGCTTTGTAGTGCTTTTTGGAGTCAAGTATGGATTGTCTACTGGCTTCTAAGAGGAGAACCTTCAGACTTTGCATAGAGCTTTCCATTTATGTCCAGTGTTGGTTCAAAGCTCTTTCTTCTCCAGCTGCCAAAACAGAACACAATATTTGTCACTGCATTTTTCAGACTTTGCTGTTAAGTTGCAGTGGTCTGTTGGGGATTTATCTCTTCTCTGCATGCTGTCAGATGTGTCGGATTTAACCCGGTTCCTGGGAAGGGCAGGATTGTTTTACCATTAGTGATCAGTGGGGCATGTTGGAGTGCAACGTGTCTGCAAACCACTGGGCTTTGTGGGGCAGATAATCGAAGCTTTAATTGCAGGGGGGGTGCTTGTCTGCTTCATTTATTTACAGCCCTCAAGACTTTACCCTCAGACCTTGCCAGCTATTTGCCTGCCTTAATGTTCCTGACCTCCCTGTTAGCTGCTCTGCCTGACTTACACAGCCCTCAGCTGAGTCTGAAGGAGCACTAAACTATTTAGCACTTTTGCTCCTAGAGGTTTACAACAGGGGACCTGTTTCGTGAAGCAGAGGAAGCCATTCCCAACAGCCAAAAGGTCTGGACTTGTTTGCTCGGATGGTTTGGTTTAGTTCTGGGGGTTTTAGGTGCTGTTTGTTTTGTGCAGGAGGTGGCTAAAGGTTTGCCTGCATTTGCAGGGGGAAGATGCAGTAGCCTGTGCAATGCTGATGTTTTCCCTCTCTGCTACAGCTCTTAAGAAGCTTCCTCTTTGAAGGAGTTTGATCTGTGACTTGTCTTCCCAGCTTAGTGGGTACTGATCCAGCATGCCATGTGCAAGTCTGCAAGCCTAAGATCTAATGTTCATGGTCACACACATGCTGGAAAAAGGCTTTAATGTTTTTAAAGTACTACTTCTTATGAACAGGTGGAGTTACAAGGCCAATGAGAATACACTGAATTACAGATACAGATACTTGAAGGTGTTGAGTGAGAATTCGTTCATAAAAGATTCATGACAAAATTGTTAATTGTGGCTTTTGTACAGATTTATAGTCATTTTCTTATTTAATGAAGTTTTCATTGTGAATACATGCTCAGTTGGGGCATAGATCATAACTCTTATTAGGGTGATGTGTGGTTTGTCTTTGTGTTTAATGGGATTTCACTGTGAGCCCTGGTCTGAAGTGCTCAAACCAAACCATTCCTGATCGTGATCAGGTTTGATTTTGGCTGTAGGTGTTTGCAGTGAGTTCACAGGATGTTTCCAGCACTCAGAGCTGTATCACAGAGTCTGTTATGTTAATGTCACCTATTAAAGCATGACTTCGATGCGTACCAGTTTCTGCTTGTTTCATCTTTGAGGGTAGGACATGACCACATCCGTTTGCCCCACCACAGGACACAAGCGCAGTGGTGTCTTTGTGATGATGCTTTCTGAAGTCACTGTGTCCCTTCAGCTGTGCCCCCTCTGCCTGGGTACATGGAAGGAGAAGAGGACCAGTCCTTTTGTCGGGTGGGCTTCGTGATGAATCCTCCCAGGGCGCTTCCATTGCTGGTCATAAGCAGGCTCCTCTCACAGCAGCCCTCATCCCTGCCTTGCTATGAGAAACGTGTGGCTGAGGAACTTGAGCATTCTTTGCCTTCTCTCTTGCCATCAGTTGGCCTCGGTGTGAAGGAGGAGATGCAAGCTCTGTGCAAAGCCGCTGTAGTGACTGCGCTGCTCGTCCTCTGTGGGGTTTGTGGTGTCTTATGAAACATTCAGTTCCCTTTGGAGACAGGCACACACACACTGCCTTTGTGTCCCCAGCTGCCACAAAATCTTGTGGGAGCTTAGTGAATCTTGGAGCCCTTTATCCCTCTGTCATGGTTAATACTGGCTGCTGTGGAGCTGGACAGGCACACACTGTGTGCTCATGTAAACCTCCTGGTGCAAGGATGCAAACTGAGACCTGGTTTTTCATCCAAGCTTGGCTTTTCCGCTAATGCTCTCCTCTTGCTAACCAAGTGGGCTGTGTCATTTAGTCCTGATGAATCTTGCCGCTGTTCCTGTCTGCTTCCCAGCTCTGCTTTGGATTAAATTGCCTTTCATCAATAAAGGGAAGCATGAAGCTATGGGCGGAAGATGCATCTTCATGAATATATTGCCATTTGGAATGGGAACTCTCATCCTGTTCCTTCCATGCAGATACTTCCAAGGCAAATTCTTCCTTAAATTATTTGGTGGCTCTGAGAATGTTTCTCCTTTTTTCTCCCTCCTTGTATCCATCTGCAGTCATCTGTTCTCTGCTCAGAATTCCTCACTTCCTCAGGCTGGCATCCTTCAGATCTCCCTGCAAAAAAGAGCAAACCCAAATCAGATGTGAATACACCTCCAGAGCTAATAAACCCTCTCACAAAGCAGTAAGCGCATGTCTCTGTAGTGCATCTTGTGCTTGTTACAGGCATAGTGATTTCTTCAGTGAAGTTGGGTGGCCTCAGGCACTGAATAACTCACTTTGTGTTGCTTTAGCATCTGCCCAGCGCAGAGGTGGTGATGGGCTTTGAGAAATGGTCCGTGTGAGACCTAAGGAGCGTCTGCATCTCCTGCAGCATCCCTATGTCCGGCCAATCTGTAGGCTCCCTCGCTGCTCTAGGCTGGGGCTGCTCAGCAGGGCATGAATGAGCTGCTCTTCCTGACTGCCTGCTGCTGCCCCTTCTGCTCCCACCTCCTTCCTAAACCTCCTCTTTCCCTCCTCCAAGCTCAGCCCCTCTTGCCTGTGCTCCTGCGCTCTGCCCCTTGGGCTTTAGCCGCAGGTTTATCTGGAGGAGAGGAGTCTCTGTGTGTAAGCTGAGACCTGGGAGGAGGGATCTGCTGGACCCTGGAGGAGAAAGGGTTTAGCTGCCCAGGAGGAAGGAAGGGAGGCAGAGCCTGGGCACCATGGCTGGATTCTCCGCTTTTGGGCTTCTCTTCCTCTGTCAGCTATTAGCCACAGCAGCAGCTCAGGTAAGAAGCCTCGTTGATGTGTTATGCTCCAGGAAAAGGTCTATAAGGGTAAAAGATAACGTGATGTGTGTATGTTGTACCTGCAGGGGGAAATGTGGCAGTTTGCAGGTGATTAGAGTCTGAAGTCCATTAAAAATGTGTGTTGCTTGTGCTGTTACACAGTGCCTGGCAAGCACATCTGGGTTTGTGCCTGCGTAGTTAAGGCTTTCAGATCGTATCCTCCTGTAGAAAGTGCTGCTTTATACTTTCTGTGTAGGTATTGTCTTCCCATTCAGGACTTCAGTTACAAGAGAGAAAGACTTGGGAAAGGGGAGACCTGTTGATGTAAGAGGAGCAGTCTTCTTTTACAGTGAAGTATAGGCTGCCAGTGAGACTGATCTGATCTGAGCTGGGTCTTCGTCTGAATCAGAACTCTTTACTCCTTCCCTCAATTAACTTCCAAATTTTACACGTATAAAATAGCATATCTAACCCTTTGCTCACTGCAGATTTATATTGAACTCCCCTGCACGTTATTGGTAGCATTGCCTGGGGTAGTAACTCCTCAGTGAGGGTTTTCATTGTGTTAGTGAGGAATTTTTGCAGTCTGGCTTGGGAATTCAGAGCTGCTTCTACAATGAAACCTTTGTTCACTGAAGCTACAGCAAGTTGCTCTCTGGAGCCCTCTCCATATAGAAGTCAATGATTGGAGCTTTCTTTCCTTCCCCCCTCCTCAGACCTCCTCCAGAATCCCAGATTTTCAAATGGCATCATGCTCAGAGAGGTGAATTTCCCTTTCTCCTGTTTCCAGCAGTGTCTGCCCGGCTCTTCCATCACCCCATAAGGCTGAGACTAGTACTTAATTTCTAGTGCCATTCACTTGCACCTATTTTCCATGGGCTTTGCATTTCCTCCTCTGCCCCAATTGAACCGTGCTTGTAGGCAGTGAGGATTTCCTATACAACCAAACCCATTTGTCACCCAGCAACCAGCTTTGATTCCCATTATAAGCCACCTGTTAAAGAAGCTGGGAGCCCTAAGGATGCCCTCAGTCAAAGGGGTTTTCCAAAGAGCCTTGCATTACTCCTGAGCTCCTCTGAGTCCCCCCTGTTTGTGGGGGAGCGCTGAGGGATGCAGGGCTAGGGTTCAGCTGTAGGATTTAGCCCATTTCTGATGTGAATATAAACTCTTCTCCCTCTCTCCCCCCAGTCCTTTCACAGAGTAGGACCACAAGGCCCTCCTGGACCACGAGGACCCCCTGGACCATCTGGGAAGGATGGCATAGACGTGAGTGACGTATGGCAGAGGGAGGGAAGGGGTGGAGCAGGGGCAGAGCCAGCTGAGCAGAGAAGCTGTTCTTGTTCTCCAGAGCCCCAGCCTTTGGCTTATCCCACAGAGGTGAATGGACCTGGAGAAGCA